CTACGGGAAACATCTTTATCTTCCATTAGTTCCCATAAAGATAAAAAAGAAAACACGTGCAAGCTCCTGTGCACACACTTCTGTTAGGTGCATTGAATGAAGAGAAACTGCATAGCTCAGAACTGTGTGTGTGTGTGCGTGTGTGTGTGTGTTCGTGTGTGAGTGTGTGAGAGAGAGAAAGAGGAACAGCATGCCATTAATCTTTCACACAGAGGATTGCAGAGGCAATCTGTTGGCTATCATAGATGATACATGACCCGCTATAGAATGACTCGCCTGTTGCATACCAACACACATGACACAACTACACACACAGGCGGCACACAAATTTACACTGCCTCAAACGCGCATGCACATTCACACGGGCATGAAAAAAAAATCAAAATCAAGGACGTCACTTCCGAAGCTCATCCATGTACATCACAATGCACATGTCCTGAACGGCAGCGAAATATATGTGCACATATAAGCACACACACTTGAACATGCATGCCTCTGCACTCTCTCATGTCTTCTCTGAATCAACCGCACTCCATCGGCCTCTAGTAGGTAAACGTGTTCTCCAACTTCACTCCAAGGCCAAACACTAGTTATTACCTCCCCCTCTCTTTTTCATTCACACACACACGCACGTACACACACAACCAAATCAAGGAATACACATTTAGAAGCAGACATGTTGTTCATCATATTGTCCTCCACCAATCCATTTCCCTGTTCTCTGTAGTATAGTTGTCTTTCATTACCCCTGAGACACAGAACCATTCTTAGATGACACGCTCCAATCGGACATATACAGTAATGGGCTCCCTTAATGACGTGATCTGGTTTTATTTACACCGTCATTTACTCCATCAGTATCTGTTTTTGCTCTGAAATCCTTACCTGAACTTAAATTGACATGATAAAAGGAATAACATTTCTTACTCAGTCATCTCAGGTTAAATGTATGGGTCTAATATAGTTGTCACTATCCTAAATAAATTTGTTATAAAACTGCACCATAGGCATTTAGCTACTACAGGTAAATTTATAGACCTAAGGAATCCATCTGTCAAGCAAATATCTTGAACACAGCTAGAAATGCAATTTGGTGTTGATGAATGCAGCATGTTTGGTTTTGGGTGACAGGGCTAACGCAAGAAGACGCAACTCCAATCAGCTGATGAACACTGTTTACATATGTATGAAATATTCTTTTTTTTCACATTCAAATTTTTATTGAGTTTTCCCAAGAATATAAACAGCATCAACACAAATAAGACATACGTACATAACCAAATAAAAAATAAAATAACAATAGAGTTTATATATATAGTATATATATAATATTTCAATATTCATACAACTATTGTGATTAGGCATTAATTTAGTCAGTCGCGTCTCATATAAATGTTCAATTTTTTCCAGTTCTTTTTCAATGTATTTTCTCTGACTATTAAAAGATATGTCCTCTCAACATTCTCAAAAATGTCTTGGATAATTTCCAGCCGCTGTTTGTGATTTGGAGTGGAATCCAATTTCTGGTAACAGCTTTCTTACTCGCTGAGAGTTGAGCTTTGGTCAGGCAGAAATCTTCTTGCATCACAGTACCTTCAATGTTTCCAAGATACATCACAGCACAAGTATTTGTGACTTCTTATCCCAGAATATTTTTAATAACTGCATTAACATTTTCCCAATATAGCCTTATCTTTGTAAAGTGCCAGAAACCCTGTGAATGGTCAGTCTCCATGGTCCCAGACAGCCCCCAACAGGGCTGTTGTGCAGCAAGTTGTCTGCTTTTTATTTTTGGTGTAATGAAAACAAATCTGAAATTCTTTGAGCAGAATTCTCTCCATATCAGTGAGTCTGTGGATACAGCATGAGGAGTATTCTGAATATTCCTTAGACTTAACTGAGTTTGTTACAAGGCTTGTTACAGTGGGTATTTAACACACAAAAATACTTGAAGCTTTGTCGGTGCTGTAGCCAAAGTCCAATCCAAAATCTGACTTTATTCTGCCAACTCAAAATAAGGGTCTATAAATAAGGTAATTTTCACAGCTGAACAGTTTGCTGTTAGTAAAATTGTATGTGCTTTCTTACTACAGAGTCTGTCTGCTCCCAGCACCAGTCCAAAAGCTTAGCAGGGTTAAAGTAAAGTGTTAACAAGGTACTCTTGTTACTGGTTTTATCTAAAGCACTGACCACAGGAAGCAATGCACTGTGCCTGCTCATTGCTCCTAGTGTTTGGAACAGGTCAAATACAGAGGACAGATCTCACTTAAGTGATCAATAAGGCTGTAACTTAAACTTCTGCAGATTCCTTACATGCTACAGTCGCTTAAAAGTGACACTCCCAAATCCTGATGTACACAAATCAATGCACCTGCTCTGAGTGGGTTCATGAGATGGAAGCAAGGGTGTTCTGTCACATTTTAGTAATAATATGAACATACTGAGCGTCACTTCATCTTTGTCGTCCTCTTTCTGTCTGCATTCCTGCCATCCTCTCTTTTACTGCTCCCACCCCCGCCCTTCTCTTTCTGCTTGGATGTCCGCTCACTCCATCAGGTCAGATTAAAACGCTGTCACAGCTCGTTTACCATCTAACCAATCATATCACACGCCCCTGCTGGCCTCAGTAGGAGACCCTGTAAAACCTAGGGAAATGAGTTTCTAAATATGCCAACCTTGTTCCTTCCTCCTCTTCTTCATCTTCATCCTCCTCCTAACCACTGTCATCATAATGATGTTATTATTCTGAACTGCAAGACATCATCATCATTCAAACATCCCCAGTAATATTATTTTTTGGTTTTGTTTTTCATCATTGTCATTATAACTATGATACAATGCTGATATAATGCTGATATAATACTTTCAAAGCTAGTTATGTAAATGTTTTTAGTCTGTAGTCTCTTGCCCATTGCTTTTGAAAGTTAAAAAAAATGTTTTTCTATGCTCTCCTAATAAGTATAAACACAACCTAACAACTTCTTCTCAAGGGAATCCATTACAGTATACACCAGTTTCATTAATTCAGGTAAACAGATCAATGCCTCAAGGACAAACGCTATCAATTCATATTTGAGTGTGTGTGTATGTGTTTGGGAGGATTAAGAGGTGCGCTGGCTTTTGAAGAGCAGCAGAATGCGGAGTTGCTCCAAAAGGTGACAATTTATGCCGAGTCAGGCGTCACTGCACCTTTTCAGCTCTCTTGCTGTTCTTTTCTCTCTCCAGCACGCACTCCTTAAAACCCAACTCACCCTAAAAATAACTCACGTATGACTGCTTTCACATCAGAGTGGAGGTTATCACCAAGCAGCTACCTGTCCAATGAATGTTTGGTCTTCTTCTCTAAATGCGTGTCAGAGGATATGAACATAGGGGTTATAATTTTTTATAATTTTATAGGTTTTTATAATAACATAACTGTGTGTAATGTGAAAGGAGTCGCTTGTACAGATGAACCCACGGGTAATTATCACACAGTGCTGCAGTTTACCTCAGCTCCACTGCTGGAGCATCATTCAGCTCATTGCCTTTGTTTTTTGGTACACAACTCTCATGGACAGCATCAGCAGGCACCTTATAAGACCCGCTGCACACTACCTGCCCAGCACCACACAACAGACAAACTTAGCAACTCCCTGAACATACTGGTGTATTTAGCAGCTAAAGAGCCAGATATTGACCTCAAGAGTTGGTGATGGAGACAAAAAAACAGAGCAACTAGGGAGTGAACATTGGACTAACCTTTGCCAGGCAGTCACAAATATGAATCCAAATGAATGCTAATGTTGGATGTATAATCATAGCAAATTGACTTTAAAGATATATATATATATATATATATATGATAATATGACAGTGTTGTGATTACAGCAGTTCCCACTGCCCTTGAGTGGCCAAAGAATCATTTTTTGACCAAATAGACAAACTTTGATGAACACATTAAATGGTGGTTGTTGTTTTTTAAAAGTCTTTCTGGAAGTTAGGTGATTCAACATCACGCATTTTCAAACCTCTGATTTACTGAGGAATATGAATAATATGGATGTATTCATACTGTGAATGTTCCCTTGAACTAAACTTTTTTTTTTTCTTTTAGCATAGATTCATTAACAGCTGAAAAAGAAGGGCTACAAAACACGATTCATGTTGTTCTCTGTGAACGCAACGGCTCTCTTACACTTTCATGCTTTAAAGAAAACCGAGGAAGCGTGAACATATGTCTCACCCGATACCCTCTTCTCTTTCTTTCTCACTCTTTCTAAAGCGTGGGTGTTTTATGTCCCTCTTTGTGCCCATTAGAATTTCATGGTCTTTCATTGACTGCAGCGCTTAAAAGAAAACTTAACATTGCACAACCTACTCTCATCTTTGTCTCCTTTTTTTTTAATGTGGTCACTCTTGCTTGCTCTCCTTCCCTTTAGCCGGTGAAAACAAGTCCATGTAAACAAAATGAATTGCCACTTACTTTGGTGCTTCTGCTCACAATTGGTAGATAAAGAGAGTAAACATGGAGGAAAAGGAAAGAGAGATGAGGATAGTAGAGATGAAGGAGCGCCCTGATTACAATCTGATTCATGTAGCCTTTGTTATTGTTGGTGCTGAATCGGTTCGAGGGTTGAAAGACAATTACTTTGGCAGTACTGCCATTTTCAGAGTCATGCACACATTGGTATTGAAAATGCTTTGTTAAACTGCACTGTGTTGTGTTGCATGTCTCTGATTCAGGAACTAACCTTAATTATGTTTCCCTCTCTCTGTTTTTTCCTGCTTTCTTTTATGTTCTTTTTATCCCTATAACCTTCACCCTTATCTTTTCCTTCGTCTTTTACTCATCATTCTGCAAATTTCTCATCTGCAATTCCTTTCCCTCATCTCCTAAATCTTGCCATCTTTCATCACATCCTTCTTAACCTTCTGTATCTTTCCACCTCTTACTCCTCACACCCCTCATCTTTTTTTTTTTTCCCTCCTTACCTCCCCTCCATCTGTCTTCTCTACAGGTCTCTGTCTGGACGTATTGTTGGAGGTGTGTGGTGGTTCTTCACCCTCATCATCATCTCCTCTTACACAGCCAACCTGGCTGCCTTCCTCACTGTGGAGAGGATGGTCTCACCCATAGAGAGTGCAGAGGACTTGGCCAAACAGACAGAGATTGCCTACGGGACATTGGACTCAGGCTCTACTAAGGAGTTCTTCAGGGTATGGACTCAACACATTCTGCTCATTTATTTTATTTCTTTAGAGGTTTCAGGCTTTTGGGTGACCTGTGGAGTTATTGTCACAATGAATTTATGAGACACCCCATTTTGTTTGTGTCTGACACACACAGATCCAACACTATGAACATTTTACGAAATGTAGCATTGCCATAGCAAATGCTAGGAAAAAAGAATACACACAGTGCATTTTGGTGAAAAACACTCAATGTGTGTGTTTGCAAGAAAACTGCACTGTTCAATATTTCATGTCTCTTTTGGTTCTGTCAAAGGGGTTGTGGTAAAGATATGATGGTGCATACCGATATATTCCTGATGGTCACCAGAGAATGCGTTTTGGTTGGTTATATCCTTTACCTACCTACTCTCACCCTTTTCATTACAGCATTAACAGGGTCGCATGGAAATATGAAAGGGAATATCAGGGTGCAAGGGCAAAAGATCCTGTGGCAGTTGGATAATGTCGGTAAATAAGAAAGAAAATCTTTAAATCACTTCCGAAGTAAATAGGCAGCCAGCAAGAGGAAGCAAATATGAAGGAGGTGTCTCCTTCACTGAAGCCAGACGAAAGCTAAGCAGCAGAATTCTGCCGTGACTGTAGGTGGAACAAGGACGAGTGACTAATAACAGTGTAAAGCGATTTACAATAGTCCAGGTGGGAGGAGAGGAATGAATGGCTGACTTTCTCCTCATCTTTAACTGAGAGAGGCTTTAACTTCGGAAATGACGCTGTGATGAAACGTCTGGCTTTCACTTTGCAGTAAAGTTGTTTATAAAAGTTGATGGCCTCATCAAAGTTCGCACCAAAGTTTTGGAGGAGTATGCTGAATAAGAAGAGGGACTAGCATGGGGTTGTGATTGAAATTCAAATCATCATGATTAAAGTGGAAGAATGATTGTTTACCATACTCCTGTTACATTTAATCAACTCTCCTACCCTATCAAATAAACCAGTGATGAACATGTAGTATAGAGCAGTGAAGCAGGGGTGGGCTTGCTAGGCAGAAGAGGTGGCCAGAGCCGCAACAGAATATACCGCAGGGAGCTGTTAACAATTAAATAGCAAGCAGGAAATGATAGCAGAGTGAAGTTAAGTGACCCAGAGCAGACCTGGAGTGACTTTCCCCCATTGACCTATTCACCCATGTGGATTGCAATTACATAAGTTCTCATAAACAAATGCAAACACACACATACACGCAACGCTGATGAAGACAGACTTTTCTGCCGACATGTGAAAAAAACACCTGCGTCACCACGTGTTCACGAACAGATCTGCTCTGTCATATTGTCTGTCACATATTCAGTATTGATTGTGTGCTCATGCATTGTGTGTGTACATATATATATATACATACCAACTTACACTTGGGCTTTGTGAAGATGTGCACATTAGTGTTTATCTGTTGATGCGGGGGGAGGCAGGGGGGAGGAGGGAGGTTGTAGCAGACAGTTTGTGCTTCTGTGAGCGGCTCTGGCATCATCAACATAACGAGCGGGCTGAAATCTGTGGAGGGTGAAAAAGCAATTTACTCTCCCACAGCTGAGGGGGATTCACCACCACCATTAATTATCTGTGTGTGTATGTCTGTGTGAGCATGTGCGCGTATGCAAGTGGGCATGTATGCATATTCAGCCATGTATGCATTGTATGAGTGTTTACATATGTGTAACGTGAGAGCGTGTAGCTCACATGAGCAGTTTCGCGTGCTGATATATATTTAAAAGTGTTTTCCATTGTGCAGATGCCTGAAGGTGACTTGCAGCATCTATTTCCTCCTTCACAGCCTCACTCATTGTTAAAGAATCTGGAAAGAGTCACACCGTATTGTCACACATCCATCCCTCCAAGGCCAGACGCTGTTTTACATGTGCACGGCCGTCATCATCACCCTCTCTCCCTCTCACTCTCTCCAACACTCACATGGGCAGATACACATGGTGTACAAAAGCAACACACACACAAGCGTGCACACATTTTGCCAGGGCAAGATAGAGAAACTGTTTGATAGAAAAATGTTAAAAATTGGAATGGATGGATGGATGGATGGATGGATGGATGGATGGATGGATGGATGGATGAAACTTGGGGAATGAGAATGATATTAGCACTGTAGGTGTAAAGAAGGAGAAGGTTTTTTTTCTCTGATGGACTTTGGCAGACTAAATAGAGAAAAAGAGAGAGAGAGAGAGTGTAGGATGAGAGACGAGGGGGCTGCTGGTCCTCATGGGTGTGAGTGACATTTTTATGGCATAGGTGTCCGTCACGCACTAGCACCACACACTCACACACGCACACGCACACACACGTACACACGATCCCCGGGCGCTGGTTTCGGTGGCTGAGGCCATGGCTTGTCGCTTGCAGAGCAACAGAATAACACTTTATCACCAGGAGAGAAGGGGAAGAAAGAATCAGGACGCTTGTGGAGGACAGTTTGACTCCTCCACTTGTTATTTTCACTCTTGACTACACACAGTCCACACATACATACACAGAAACACATCAATTCACACACTAACATGTAAAACTATACACATACACCACACACACTACACTACACATTCTACACATACACACACACTAACACTCACAAACATGCACAATCTGCACAGTATATACACAATATAATACATCATACCAGACAGATATCCTCTGAAAAGCTCTTCAGTTAGAGCAGGTGACCAAATTCATAACTGCACAATCAGATCAGTATGCCACTGTTCCAGTCATAAGCTCATTTGGAGAAAGATTGATGCCCGACTTGTCAAGGGAGCTGTAGTGTTACATTTTAAATGTGGTTATAAATGTCATTATATGCCGGAGGATCAAAATGGAAGATGGAAGACACAGCTCTCCATCAGCGGTGTAATTTTATTCAAGGACTATAAGAGTCAAAAGCCTCAGCAGTTTGCTCTACATCATAAGAAACTAGAGCGATAAATGAAATGCAGTAAAAACTCAGCACTGTACAGTTGTTTCTATCGAAGAAGCATGGGAAAAATACTCGTGTCTAATCAATAAACAGAGTGTCATTGTGTCAACGTACTGAATACGTTGTTTTCATCTCCTCGGCTCTCATATTTACATCTCAGATTTTTCCTGTTTGTCTCAGTAAGGATGGCATGTTGATTTGAATAATCAAATCTGTGTTTAGAGAAGCTGCTTTGGGCATCGCCGCGAGGTGTGAATGGCCATCCAGAAGTAGACAAACAGCATGGCTGCATTAGCAATAACACACCAGTCTGAAATGATGAAATTGTTTTTCTGTGTTTTCTTAGGGTCAGCAAATCCTCTGAAAAGCCAAGAATGTGTTAGTTCGTTTCTCAAGACTTTCAAAATCCCCTACCCTGTCTGTGGCCCTCAGCCCCACACTCATCCCTTCCTAGAAGACACATCTTTACAACAGGTCACATACAGTATATATAGTTTTTTTAAGGGCTAAGTACTGTACTAAAACAGCTGGGCACTGTAGTTTTTAACAAACTTCATTCAATCAGGAGTAAATACTTCATTTGTTAGTCCAGTATGTGGGACTGACTCAAAATAAACTACAGTAGCTCTATTCATGTTAATGAATGAGCACAACAGTCACAGCTCACTGATGTGTTCTCAATTGCTTTTTGACAAAAATAAATGTCCTAACACAGAAGAAAAAGTTAATTGGTAACACAGGCAATAATTGATTTTCATGATATATAATTAGTATGATTAATTCATTGTTGTTTTGCTCTTTTCATTGAATTTGTTAATAGAATTTCACTGACCATATTCTTTAAGTCCTTCTGTAAAGGAATAAACAGGAAGTGAAAAAAAAGAAGTACCTTGAGTGACCTACTACAGTGTCAGTTTTTGTCAAATTACCTGAATTGTGTTCAAAAGGTTCAAAAGTCTTAAAACTCACACTGTTCTTTGCCTTGTCAGACCTTAGCCACACAATTCTTTCTTATCTACAGCTGTCAAAGATTTAGGCTATTTAGGAGGGACATGCCTATCTCTCTCTCAATCTGCCATCTTTTTTTCCCAATTGAAATAATTTCTCTTCTCCTCACTTGACCACAAAAACTATCATCCATCTAACCTTGTATGTCAGCAAAATGATGTCCATTCACTCCTCATTAACCTCTGCTCTCTCCTCTTCACCCTCCACCATCCCAGAGGTCCAAAATAGCCGTGTACGAGAAGATGTGGTCCTACATGAAATCTGCCGAGCCGACTGTCTTCACCAAAACCACAGCGGAGGGCGTGGCGAGGGTCCGCAAGTCCAAGGGGAAGTACGCCTTCCTCCTGGAGTCCACCATGAACGAATACACGGAGCAGCGCAAGCCTTGTGACACCATGAAAGTCGGGGGGAACCTGGACTCCAAAGGATATGGCATTGCTACACCGAAAGGCTCACAGTTAAGGTGGGTGGAATAGTGTAACAATAGGAAACAGTAACAAAGCTGATACTGTACTATTGCTGCGATATTCCACCTACCCTGCTGTGCCTTTTATACTACACCTAGATTAACCTGTCACTGCTGTCAGGTGAAAACATCTCACCCACAAAAAATTAAGAATTTAGTCACATTTGATGTTTTGCTAAGGGTCATAAGAACTCATACAGAAAATGGCACCTGTACAATTTATTTATTTATAATTGAATAGTTTTCACCCAGCAGCAGCGATATACATAGACAAGTGTGTTGGGTCTGAGATTACATATTTCATCATACTTTTCTTCCCTTTTTGATTTCTTTCTCTTTCTCTTTCTGGCTCTCTTTTTCTTTCTTGTTTGTTTTTTTTTCCTGACTCTATACTGCCACCTCTCTGCTAATTTAGGGCCTGTTAGCTCCATCTCTGTGTCCCGTGTCACTGTCATGTGTCCATCCCTTTGTGCTCGTATCCATCCTCTCTTCCCTGTTGCTCCTTCAATCACTCTGTTTCTCCACAGGGCCACCTTACAGGTAACTCTGCTCATTTGTCTGTTGTCTCGTCCTTTTGTTCCTTTCATCCTCAGAAATGGTAGTCATGATGGTGATGATGATGATGATGATAATAATGATGATGATGATGATGATGATGATGATGATGATGATTATTGTTGTATTATTATTGGAGAGATTTTTAAACTGAATATGACTGCAAGGAGGGGCAGAACCTCAGACTGCTGCCACTACATCCAGGGCCACAAGGGGAAATTTATAGACGAGCAGGAAACAAAAAGTGAGAGATGGGAAGCAGAGGGGCCTGGCCAATGGGGGGACTAGAAAGTAATCACAATACAGGATCCCACACCAAAAAAACTGAGTCACAAATGAAAAAAGGACAATGTTATTTAAATTCTTAAACCAGTTAAATTGGTTGGTAATTGAACAATGCTAAATTAAAACCCAAATAAATAATTAGTCGTTTATTTTGTGTGTGTCTTAATAAAGACAATATAAAATGGAGGGAACAATTGAGAAAGTGAGTGAATATAGATACTAAAGTTGGTCCTTCTGTTTTGATTTTCCCTTAGCAGACAATTGTCTATCTGGCTTGTTAATGTGAGCCTAAAGCAACAGTCCCACAAGTTTTCACTGAGGTATACTAGCAATGCAAATAATTCATTTTTCATGTGACTGTGACAGCAGTATAGAGACTTTGTTTTCACGACGTGGCAAGTGCCTGCCGAGGGAAAATAATTGACTAAATTCAGTAAAGCCGGACCACTTGCTCTCTCTTCTATCCCTCCATCTCTTTCTCTGTCAGCATTTCAGATTTGCCTGGTGAAAGGCAAAACACAAACAGCACATCAGCCTCACATCCTGTCCCTATAACTTTCCCCTGTGTGTGGTGCAGACAAGTCCCTCAAAACCCCAGTCATTGTAGTTTATCCCCTTGTTCTTTACAAAAAAACTAAATAAAATAAAAAAGGTTTTTCCGTTTATGAGGGAAAAGTGACAGACAGCGGGTGGATAGGTCCCTTTTTAAGCCCCCCTCAAAACACATTCCTGGGACTATCCACGGTTGTCTCTGGCTTCTCTCAATCAGCGGAAACCCAATTTACCTGGTGCACACATGTGGCTAGGAGTGTGCACGTCAGGTGTGCCTGCCTCTCCTCTCAGTGCTCTAATCAGAACGCTAATTTGACTTGATGATGATGATGAGGAGGAGAATGAATACCCTGATGATTAAAATGAATGTTAGGAATGTGTGCTTTCTCAAGTATAGCTACTTTTGATATGATCGTTGATGTGTGACTGTTATTATCATGACTCGCAGATATGTTTGAACTGTTTTCATCCACACCTCTTCTGTTGATAAGATCAGTCATGGCCTGTAGCTTAGATCACCCCAGAGAACACTGTCTCTCTCTGAATCTCTTGATTATCTTTGCTCAGAGAGCTAAACCTATAGAGGATTTTATGCCTTTCAATTTAGCATTGGCAAAATGTCAATACACATGTAAATAGTGAATTGAAAAGTACAGTATTTGTTGAGTGGGGAGAGTGTTTTACTTTACTTTTTCAAGATGAGATAGGACTTTCAGATAGGCAGGTGTACAGACAAAGGGTCAGACTAACAAACAAGCAGGCAGTGACTGCAGTGACCTTTTTGTAGAGATTAGCCCGGCTGATTAGAGCATCTCTCACAAACAAAAAGAGTGGTCAGGGTGGTAGCAAAAGAAAAGAATGACAGGAAAGTCTTTTATGGGCTGCTTTAAAAAGCAGAGAGAGAAAAGAGAAACAAAGAGAGAGAGAGAAATAGACAGGAGAATATGAATTTATGAAGGGTATGCGGCAAATAAATTGACAAAGTCATTCAGCTCCTGCAGCCATGTTTTGTAGATGCTCTTGTTGACATTGTAGTAAGGGAACAGTCCACAAATATAGGCAGTCGAGAGACACTTGCAGGAACACTGAAGTGGTGAATACCAGAAGAATCATCAGTACTGCTGATTGCTGTTCCAGTTTTGCTTGCCTGCCGTTGGATTGTCCGTATCAAAAAGGACAGCTCATTATGTTAGAATATTATCAAAATCAACTTTCTGATAATTAAAACCAACCGAATTAAGTAAATCAACTGTTTTTCACCACTTGAGAGTCAGCCTCTAAATATTATAATAATATATCCTAAATATTAGGATATAAGGAAAACATTGCTTACACTTCATGTCAGGACAGTACCAAAATCAACTTGGATAGAAAATTTCTCAAGAAAAGTAATCCATTTTGTCATCTCTACTTCTCCTTTAAAGTTATTGTTGCATGGTGACACAGTTGAAAGCACGGATTCTTTGAAGTCTACTGGGTGATGTACTGAAGTGCCAATGAGAAGCACTCACATCTGACAGCCGAGAGTTTGTTTCTAAATAGCACAGCATTCACAAAGTACAGTATGTTTTTTGACAAATCTAACTGAACTGACAAAACTGACAAAAGATGGTTTCCTTTTATTTAGAAGCTGACTCTCAAGCGGTGAAGCTTTCAAGTGTTGACGCTCTCCGCAATGCAACTGATTTGAAACCCTTTTGAAAATCCATGTTGTCAGCTGCATTGCAAGGCAGTGATCATAACAGATTTACCTATTTCAGTTGGAATTGATAATATTCTAACATAATGAGTTGCAGCTCCTCTCTTTGTAAATGGGCCAGAAATAAAGAGCTTAGATGAATACATGTGCACTAGCAGCATGAATGCCCAATATTTAGCCCTGTGTCCCTGAATTTTGTTTCGAGGTCAATCCCTTCAGGGGTGTGAGCAGGAGGGCTGCAGGAAACTGGAGCCACACAACCACACACACACTCTCACACGCATACAGACAGCAGGAGGGGGGCAAGAGCACCATCAGCAGGCTGCAGAGACCTGGTTAACACAATTTATACCAGCAATCTGACACTCACTGTAGAGCATTCTCTGTTAGGCCAACCTGGTAAAGGAGAGGGACAGAGGAGAGATGCGCAAGAAAAAAATACCACAGAATAACTGGAAGTATTTTTTTTTTATAAAAACAGAAAATGTGAGATGAACAGAAATAAATTTTGGGGAAAAAAAAGTGTCTGAAGTAGAAAGAAAGTCAAAGAGACAGAGTAAGAGAGAGCGTTGTCTGGGGTGCATTCTTCCCCACTGACCTACCTTTGTCCCTTCAACCCATCTAATTTCTCCTCCCTCTGCTCCCTCTCCTCCTCATTTCCCTCCCCTTCTTCCTCCTGGCTGTGGTCCCCACGTCCATCTTGTCTGTTTGTCCCTCCATCCTCTGCTCTGACCAAACTATCTTATCTGTCCCTCCTTTTTTACTTAAAGAAACGCGGTCAACCTGGCCGTGCTAAAGCTCAACGAGCAGGGCCTGTTGGACAAATTGAAAAACAAGTGGTGGTATGACAAAGGAGAATGTGGCAGCGGGGGAGGGGATTCCAAGGTTAGCCCTCTCTGTCTGCCCACCCCACCACTAGGGGATGGGGGCTGCTCACCGGCTGGGCAGCCTGCGACAGTCCCCGTCCTGGGAGAGTAACGCATGCATCTGCCCTGGGAAAGAGTCAAGCAACATACAGGGAGGGCAAAAGTGACACCCTAAAATCTCCTGAGACACCCTGCGGCTTCAAAAATAGGCACAGTGTGGCATCTGTTGTCAGTGGTGTGTGCCTTTTTTATATAAAAGGTTCAGACTCAATGACAAAGGTATAACACTTTGCTTGTTGAGATGCAGAGAAAGTGAATATTATGTCCCGGCAAAGAACAATTTCCAAAAATAATGAATGAATTTGAAATGAACCAGTTGACCCAAAAAAGAACCAAAGTGTTTTTTTTTTTAAATGATCAATGTATTATATAATTTTATGTTGAATCATCACAAAAATAAAAAAAAAATTAATTCTCAAAATCATACAGGGAAATGTCTCCTTCACGGGTGAGTGCCTGCCAAGATAAATAAAGTTCACCTCATAATAATAACTATTTTCAAATGTCTTTGGCAAAGATCTGGTTAGATCTGAAAGGACAGAGTGTGAAATGATGGGAGGAGGGTTCATTGATGGATATGTGGAAAATGAAGAGAGAGCAGTTACTGCCAAGACAGGAATATTCGCCCCCTAGTGGCAGCTCTGGGGAGAGGAGAGAGAAGAATGACAGAAAGACATGAAACCGAACCTTATCACTCCACTGATGCTCAAGTGCACGGCAGACGAAACAGGTCTTAAAACATTTAATGGGAAAATGAGACCCAAGTGAAACTATACCTGTCTCTCCGATTCTTTTAGTCTCGTGTTGACTTGTGGCAGAGGGGAGGATGAATAATTGATAGAAGCAGAATGCAATTACAGGATAAAGTTTCCTACTTCTCCTGGTCGTTTGTAGAATTTCAACAGTTCTGTTCAGGGTTGTTTTTCTTTCAGTTCAGTTTCCTGCAATGTGTGAAAGACTCAAACATTTAAACAACTCTTGTTACTCTTAGGTCCTGAATATCCTTGTTATCTCCTGTATGTTTTATAGGCAAAGCTGTAATTTGATTACTATGCGCTCAAATGCTATCTTTGATGTATTTTATACAATAACAGTAAAGGTTTAGTCACATGTACCCACCTTTTTTGGAATGAAGCAAATCCCTAAATTGAGATGTGAAACCATTTTTCAGTCCATCCAGATTCTTATAAATTTTTAACAAGTCTACAACAATGCTAACGACTGTATGAGGCTGATAGCAAGCTAAAGCGCTCACAATGACGATGCTAACATGCTGATGTTCTGCAGGTAATGTTTACCATTTTCTCCATCAATAATTTGGCATTTTAGCCTGCTAATTAGCACTACACAGGAAGGTGAGACTGCATGATGGCATTTTAGACCGGACAATTTTAAGTATTGGACAGAACCAAATTGTGACCAGTTGAGGCACTAGAGGAAAAGTAAGGTCATTCTGTCAGTCATTCGGACCAGGAAATTTCAAGGCTAATAGTTGTCGAGGCATTTCACTAAAAACCACAGATATAATCTCATGGTGCCACAACAGGGGATCACCAAAGTCACTAGGATACATCGTCTGGGAAGCATGACTGTCTGTACAAAATTTCAGTCCAGCAGTTGCTGACACATTTTGGACCAAGTGTTATAGGGCAACCTACAAATCAAAATTACCGTTCATGGAGCTACATCGCCTGGGACCTGGGACCTCAGCGCAACAAGAAAAGATTGTTCCTGTAACAAGTTAGGAGCTTCCTCTGGCCTTTAATGTTTGTAGAGTTTATGAAATCCTCAGCTACAGATTCAGACCTGTCTCAGTGCAGCTCTCTCTCCCAGCAGTAGCACAGTGCTAGCCTGATGCCAATAGTCCTGGCTTGACAGTACTCGCCTCTGGTTCAGTGTAGGATCAGCTGGGGCAGTATGGGTGTGTTACCTGAAGTGACAAAGGTGGGTCCCACTCATATGTCTGTAGCTCGCCTTAGCTCCTCGCTCCCCCCAGCCCCTCCTCAACGAGCATACACACATGTACTCAGTGGGATCCATGCTAGGTCACTTGATCTAAGCAAAACGTTTTTATGTGACTGAGCTGTGCAATGCAAATGTGAAATACCCTAATAACATAAAATAACATGACCTATGATGTTATTTATGTTATTTTTACACGCGAAGAACCCCGGTAAACCTTGCAGTTTTGAAACTGAGCGAAGCAGGCGTCTTAGACAAACTGAAAAACAAATGGTGGTATGACAAGGGAGAGTGTGGACCCAAGGACTCTGGAAGTAAGGTCAGTCTCACGCTGCTGCGGCCCACAGAACGCTAGCCTGAAACTCTCATCCTGAATACGCTCCAGATTACTGCAACTACTGTCTTAGAAATAGATTTTTAAACACCTTCTCAATTAGCCTGAAACATATCTTGAATGTGCTCCAAAATAGACTAGACTGTCCATTTAGTGACTTACTCCAAATTTTTTCCTGTCTATTCTGATGGTGGACCACATTTATCTAAATCTGCATCAGATTAAACTCAGATTCTTGTTCAGTTTCTGTAGCAATCTGTGGCAATCCCATCTTCATTACAGTCAGCATTAGAGCTCTAATGTAAATTGTGATTATCATCAGCCAATTTTCACTCTCATGTTTTTGTTTTGATCTCATACACAGCCCATTTTTGGTAACCTGAAACACATCCGCCAGATGAGAATATCACTGTCTGTTTAGTTTCAGCAATAGCAAGTTGTTTGCAATTATTGGCCTTTGCCCTCGTGTTTGAAATTTACTCAGGACTAGGCTACCTATTTATTTCCATAACTTCAAGTAAGGCTTAGTAATGCTTTATTATACAGGTCCATGTGTTTTTAAATAATGTCCTAGGTAGCTTTCTGGAATAACTATTATTTGGTACTAATTAAATGCTCAGTTTGTACACTTGCAATTTAATATTAAGGCTATTATAAATTGATTACTTGTATATCCACATTGCACATCAGGTCAACTGAACATTCAAAAAAGTGACTTTTGTCAACAGGTGACCATAAAATATAACAAATATGGAGATTAAAGTTTTCAATAATCAATGAATGATGAATTAATAAGTTCATTCTGGGTTTATTTTGGGTCATGGGTTTAGTAGAGCAGTTCTGTCCTCTGGAAATCAACAGCTGCATTGAAGCTCAATGCAAATAGTTCAGTTATAACTATAACTGCCTGTAATTAGAACCAAATGACATTGTTCTCATTCAGGATGTTTCCTATAAAATTATTTGGAAATGACAGACCTGTGAAATAAAGCATTACCATATTTTATATTAGCATTGCTAATTTATACTGCATATCTTGGCACTTAAAAATATTCATTACAGTTATTTCTCAGAGTAGAAAAGAAATTGTTGGACAGGAATATTTTTAGGATAGTTACAATATAGAAAATGGGAGTTGCTGTAGATGGTTAGAACAGGCTACTGGAGCCTTTAAATGTCATTAAAACTATTGTGAAATGTCATCACCGCTCAGATTAAAGCCTGCTCTATCATTTATTCAAAGTGATTTACACTCTTTTTGACTTACTTCTTAATTTAGATGTTGAATCAAGCTGTTTTTATATGACTGTGTTGCAGTAGAAAATGTAGAGTGTGCTGTAGTTGTACTGACTGATACAGATATGTAGTATATGTATGTAGTAGCTGTTGTGTTGACAGTTGTAGTAATTGTAGCTGTAGAAATAGAATGTAATAATGTGATAATTTGTAATAATACCATAATGTAAAGTAGCATAGACGTAGTACCTCAGTAACAATATAATACCAGAATTTGTCTCTGAATGTTATTTTCTCTGATGGTCTCCATTTCTTTGTGTCTAATCTTTTGTACTGTATTGTCTCTGTCTGCTTTTTCCCGCTTCTTTATCTGTGCTCTCACAACTCCCCCATATTTTGACATCCTCCTCCTTTCTTTTCTTGCTTTCTCCATGTCCTGTATCCATTATTTACTTCCTCCTCTATCATTCTTCTCTCCATAATTCTCCATGTTTCAAATTTTCACTCCGCCTCTCTTCCCTATACCTCCTTATCTTCTTTTACATGCACCTACCTAAACTAACCTACCGCCTCACCTCACTTTTCCCAACAACCGTCCTTTAACGCTGCCTACACCTCCGCTCCTCCCTCCCCTCCTCCCCTACTCTGGCTCCCTCTCTCCAGGACAAGTCGTCCCAGGCTCTGAGCCTGTCCAACGTGGCTGGGGTCTTCTACATCCTTGTGGGCGGCCTGGGCCTGGCCATGCTCGTGGCCCTGGTCGAGTTCTGCTACAAGTCCCGGGCCGAAGCCAAGCGCATGAAGGTGGACCTTAGCCCCCCCCACTGCCCCAGCCCCTCCCCCAGCACCCAGAATCTAGCCACTTATAGGGAGGGGTACAACGTGTACGGCTCCGAGGGGGTCAAGATATAGGGGTAGGATTTAGAGGCTCCCATATAGGTGGGGTAATGGTGGTGTTGATCATGGTGGTGGTGCTGTAGATTATTGTATTGTCGATGTAGCGGCTGTCGCAGCAGCCCCACGCAACCGTGTTGTTCTTCATGTGGTGATGAGGATGTGGTCAAGCATTGTGGAACCAATGTAGCTTTTTATTTTCTGTGAAAGCTTATTTTGCCTGTTTTGTTTATTTATTGGCCTAATATTTTCTTAGACTTTTTGGGTTTAAATTTGTTTTGAGTTTTGTTACAATTATTATTTTTCATTATTTAGTACCTCACTAGAATGGGGTTAGATTTATGTAACTACAGATTTGGTTCCATCGTCTTTGGCTGCAGATGATGATGATGGTGATGATGATGATGATGATGATGATGATGATGATGATGACAGTGATGGTGATGCTCTTTGCCAATGGATTGACTAGGCACCTGCATTGTAATCTTAGCTAATACTGAACAAAATATTGATGAAGCAGGGATGTACAACTCCAGCCTCAGGGTTTACCATTGTATTACATCATTTTTATATACTGTATAGGGCTTCAAATAACAATTATTTTTATTATCAATTAATCTGCCAATTGTTTTCGCATTTATTGATTCATCATTTGGTCCATAAAATGGCATAAAATAGTGTAAAATGCCCATCACTGTTTCCCAAAAGCCAAAGTGAAGATTTTGCATTTTTTAACAGTTTGAAATACTCTAAACTGAGAAGGGGAAACTAGGACATGTTTGGCATTTTTGCTTAAAAAAGTTATTTAAACGAGTAAACAATTAGCAAAATAGTAGATAGTAATAGCCAATTGATTTTCTATTGACTCATCAATTAATTGACTTATGATTTAAAGGATCTATTTGTAAGTTTTGCTATTGCTACATAGCCAGTGTTAGCATTAACAGCTGTTTACTTACCAGTCTAGAAGAAATGTTGCAAGTTCAGCATCAAACTTTATTCCTGTCACCAGTGGTTGAAAGCAACACCAATCTTAACTCTTGTCTCTATCACATCTTTACTTATACTTAAGTTAGCATGCCAACCAGCCATTATATAACAAGTTTAAAGTTTATTCATAATAACACCACAAATTCATATGCGAGAGATTTTGTTCTAATGTTTCAGTATTTTCTTGGCTAAACTATTATAAGTTAGTAGGGATAGTATACTTATCCTGCTATCAAAAAAGTTTGTTAGTGTTAGTGTGGCATCCCTCATTAAAATCTGTGACTGCTTCTAGCTGCAAATTAATTAGCTAACATCTATCATTATGGATTTACCAAAAATGTTTTCATCCATAGCATGATATATATCTCTGGAAGAAAAACATTGTAAGACAGTTTTATGCCTGGATGTGTAGTCTTTTACCAGAATTTTCATAACTGGACATCTCAGTAATTCCTCGCAATGTCAGAAAAACGTACAGGTGAGGTTGGTATGAAAGCAGAAAATACATCATATTCGGTGCCTGTTAAGCCGATTCAAACCAATTTAGGGTAAGACTGGGCTTTTGACAGCTTCAGCTAAGTTTCTGTGTTCTGTGAAGTTTTTGCCCAGCAGCAGTTTTTAATTGCTTTTAATTTTTGTCCCTAGATACTGTATTAGTCAAACTGCAGCCATGATTTTATTGAGTTGTACTAAGTTTTATAAGTTCTAATTCCTTCACTGTGTACAAATGGTTATGCCTAGTGTCTAAAATGCTACTTATTATTAGTCAATACCTTATAGGGAAAATATTTACTAATCTTGACTCACAGCAGTTAATTAAATAGTGGTGGTGCATTTATTTGATTATCTGATAGAGCTGCATTTACTAGGTTTTTTATTTCACATGTAAATTGGTCAGACCAGGACTAGAAGTATACTCTTTAAATGTAAATCTAATTTACCAACATTAACAATAAAGGTTTAAAAACCTAGGTAGCTAGAGTTAGTTTATTCCTGCTGAACTGACATTTCCCAACTCCGATGGCTAGTAGTTGGCACTGTCTCCTATATATATACTGTACCTTTAATGAGTCATGCATGAAGTGGAGTTGTGCACCCCTGCTGTTGATGATCCAAACAGGCATTTTAACTTATTCCAGCTCTGACAACTTCAAAACAGCCCAGTTACTCAGTATTAATGCAGAGAAATAAATGATGAATCAAACACTTCATATAGAATGGCTACTTAGTGATGTTGTTATAAAAACATGACTCATGTTTATTGATGTAAAATTAACTGAAGCAATTAACTGAAGTGAGGAAACATTGGGCTTCATTTTGATGATCTGCTGAGCAAACCATTCAGAGGCATTATAAGGTCATATTTAATGACCAGCCTAAGATAATTAGCAGGATCAATACAGAGGATGCAAAAGTAAAGACAGCTAAATGTGGTACACTAAATATTGGCTGTCTGTTAAAAGATAACAATACCGACTTTAAATGAGGTACAAAGTTAAGATAAACCAATATGAGAATGGAGCATTTTGGTCTATACTCAGAAGCAATAACAGTGATCTTAATAGCATTCCCGCTCTGACTGCAGTGTGCTGTGAAACTCTCTGGACTGATGCCATATTTTTCCGACTTTAATCATCCAAGAGAGTTTCAAGTTGCAATAGTACCATCCAAAAAAATATTGGTTCCTTGAAAACTGTCTTAAATGTTCCTTTAGAGTAGTCAATTATATTTTTTCTCTTTAGTTTTTAATTGAGCTGTACATCAGAATGACAGCACACATTAAAACAGGAGGGGAGGAAACTTTTGTCGCAGTTCCTGGCAGCTTGTTTTACCAAACACAGTTGGCTGTTTGTAGATGCTGTTATATAGAATTTTTTTTTTTTTACAAGACTATATACTGTATAAAGGCTATCAGTTTATATGCAGAAAATCAAAATGCTATGTTTCAGAAATCAAAAATGAAGCCATTTTCTTTCCTAGCATAATTGACAGATATTATTCTCTACTGATTACCAATGGTTTCTGTTTAAATCCCTTTGACTTTAGTTATAATAGAGACATTTTTACCCAGGCACAGCACATGGTCATCTACAGTATCTGAAAATAAAGTTTTCAGCTGTCACAGATATGAGCAGAAACACAGAGTTTACTGATAAAAATCACAGAGTAGCCCTTCTGTGTGAAGTGTCACCCGACTCTGAGCAGTATAGTCAGTCACTCCCTCTCTATAAATCTGAAACCTTGAAAGAAAAATCACTCCTTCATTTTTTCCTTTTGTCTTTCCAAAGTCCTCACCTTCCAAATCCTATCCTTTCAAATCCTCACCTGGATCTGTCAGATTACTGAAACCCAGAAATGCATGGTCACCTATGAAATGCAGATGTCTACAACCTAAATCCTCTTGTCCACTTTGTACATGTTTGTTGATTGTTGCCTGCTTTTACATTTACTTTTGCCTTCATTAGAACTGTGCTAGTATTTGAACGGTGTGATAGCCTTAGTGAGATTTGAATGTTTATATGTTTTGGGGTGCATTCACACCACACACACGAGCATGCTGGCAGCCTGATTCACATCCTGCTGTAGTTTCACGCTATTCCACTAATCAACTGTTGGTGGCAGTAACGCGCTAAGAGACATAGTAATGCACCAACAGAGGCATGGAAGAAGACTTCTAGCGAGTAAACATGGATGTAAACAACTTAAAATGTAAAATATTATAAGAAAAAATCTGTTATTTTTTGAGGAAGAAAATGCACTCAACATGTTAAGACTTGGAGAATGTAAACAAAATTTTTGTTTGCAAGAAAACTCCACAAGGCACCTTTAAAATCTTTAATTTCACAATTTGACTGGTTTCCAATACGCAATTTACTTCTGAGTTCATGCTTTTGGGCTGCAGCTAATGATCTTAATGAATAATCAATTTGTTTTTAATGTTAGAAAATAGTAAAAAAAAAAAAAAATGATGAGCATGGTAATATTTTCAACAACAGAAATAGACTGGAATGCAAAAAGAAGAATTTTCATGAAATTGTTTTACTACACAGTATATGTGATTGCACCCTCAGACTTTTGTAACTGTTATCGTACTCGTGGGTATAGTGTGTGTACAGGCACATGCATGTATAAGCGTTTTTAGTGCATGTGTTCGTATAGAAATGTCAGTGTCTTTACACAAGTGGTTGCATTTGCTGTACAGTCTCTATGTCTATGAGATGATTTTTTTTCCAAACAAGCTCTCTGCCATCTCCACCCTCTCCTCTGTCCTCCTCTCCATCTTCTCTCGTATAGCTGTCGTTTTCTGAAGCCATGCGAAACAAGGCCCGTCTGTCCATCACAGGAAGTGTGGGGGAGAATGGCCGCGTCTTGACGCCAGACTGCCCCAAAGCCGTGCATGCTGGCCACGCCTCCCTCCGACACCCCGGCCTTGCAGTGGTCTCCTCTGGACTGCCCTGAAAACCAAAAACACCTGCCGTGCCTTAATGACACAATATACAGACTTCGGAAAGGACACACACACACACACACACACACGCACACACACATGTGCATACATACAGTTACACATACCATATCACACATAACACACACACACTCATAAAGTTACAGAAACTCAAATACAATACTCAGACACAGAGACACAGAACACACATTTTTACACACTTGAATACACAAATACACACTGCGCATCATCATCTCACTTTCTTGTTGCCATTGACTTATTTTACAAGAGACAAGTGAAATACAACTGTGGAGTGAACAGCGGAGAAAAAAAACAAAAACAAAGGACAACTATGACTATCACACTTGCCTGCAGCATTTTTTTTTTTTTTTTTTTTTTTTTGGGAAGATACCATCCTGATATCTACAAGCCGACAGGAAAGCCAGCACAGACTTACATGAAATGAAATATGAGCTGTGAACATGACCACAAAACTGATCATGATGATGATTGTGATAAAGATGATGATCACAGCTGCCGGTAAAAAAAAAAAAAGAAAAGAAAAGAAAAGACAACCAAACAACTCTGTTCCTGCTCTGTCTTCATTGGACAATGTTGGCCAAAAAGCCACACCCCTTGACAACGCCTTACTAAGACTACATTGTTTTCATCATCATCATCATCATGGTCATCATCATCTTATCTTGCCTGCAAAGACTGAGTGCCAGGTGTTATCACCCTTAGAAGACCAGAAAACTGTAAGCTTGAACGTTCGGACTGTGCAAACCCACTTCTTTGCCATGGACTGTTCAAACTGAATGAAAATGCTTTCTTACTACGCATATAGAATGATTTCTCGCCCCAAACCAGCGAGATAATCAGCCAATATAGAACAGAAGTAACCTCGAAACACATATGTGTGGCCGATCTCGGCCACAGGATTCACAGGGGTTTGTAAAAGAAAAAAATTAACAGTAGTAATTAATGAAGTTCGTCATCAACAGCATCATCGTGACAGTAGAAATGCTAAATAGTGAAGATTACTTTTTTGCCAAGTGGCAAAGGCGAGGTTTAAGCTGTATATTCAATGGTGGAAAGAAAAAATAAAACACATGGGCAGATCTAAAATGGCTACCTAACAAAGTGCTTCTCAGCAGAAGCACTGGGCCCTTACAGAAGTTTGAATGATGGAGGAAATGGGAACAAATATGGTGTTTATAACAAGTAGGAATAAAACCCTTTCAACTGTGGAAAGAAATTCAGCCTCCATGTCCCCTTGAAAAATTGATCCAAATAGCCACACAATGGAAAAGGCGAATCAAAGTAAATTTTTCTTTGCGCTGTTTCCCACAGTGGAGCTTCCCGACTGGTAAACAATTTGTTTCAAGGTCTGTGATAACACTGAAAATAACTGGTCTATTCTGTGTGCACCTCATTTGACTTAAATTATATAGACCTACAGGTAAAATTTTCAATTTCTCAGAAAGTATAGACTCTAATGGGCAGTTTGGTTGTCATTTGAGATCCTCAGTCTTCTCCAGTGGCCGGGGAAAGGTACTATATCAGAAAGCTTGCTTTTTAAAACTGTTGTAAATAACTGCGTAGCAAAACAGAACTCACCTGTCTTTTTTAATCATCTTAGATAACAATTCATTGCAATAATGAATATAAAAGAAAATGCCACTACTTGTAATTAAGATAAAATCTTTTTTTATAAATCTACATATTATATATAATACAAATAAATATATATCTATAGAGAGCTATAGAGAACATTGATCACTGATTGTCAGAGGCCATGGCATACATTCTGTTATATGGCTGTTTTTTGATAACTTGAGAATATTAATATGCCACAGTCTTTGTGTGTCCTACTCAACACTGAATGTCCATCTGGTACTTGCACGGACACACATGTAGAAATGCACGCACACACATTGCTGCATACACAGGGTCAGCTCTGAGTGATCACTCCAGCACCACGAGAGGTTCGGATGATTTTGTTTTTGCCTGTCTGTCTGTTTCACCATTTGTTATTCACTGCTTTTCATTGTCTACCAGTGTTATTACCCCACAGTCTCTCCGTTGGTGGGCTGCAAAGCCCCCTGAAAAAGCGTGTAGATGCCAGTATTCAAACACTGAAGCCGATACAATGAGAGGACATTTTGGCAGGCCTCAAGAGAGGATGGGCCACTGTGATTACTGTACCGTAGGGAAACAATGCTGTCTGACATTTCAAGAGTGTAGCATTTGTGTTGCATTTCATACCACCTCAGTGCTTTTTGTTGTTTGTCTTCTCACCAAATGTGAGTCAGCAACAGATTGAAAATCCAGAGTTCAGACTGAAGGGGGTTTGTACTTTTTGAGGACATGATTGGATCCATCGCGCTAGGCAAGAGCAAGCAAACCTACACAATTTTAAAAATCTGTTATATACTATATGGCAGACTTTTTGGGCACATCTGTTTACTGCCAGATGAGGATAAGAAAATATACATAATACTTGCATAGGGACTGTGTCATTATACAGTATGTGGGACTGAAATATTGTGTTTTCTGCCCTGCTCACCTCTGCTTTTCTTCCTTGTACACCTTTTTAAAAATTCAGCTGTTTTTCCTGTGCCCTTCCTCACCTCTCAAATCTTCCCTCTCTTGTTTTGTCTTTCCCTCTGCCTCTGCTTTCATGTCCCCTCCTCTCCCACTGACAGACAGAAAACTCTGTACAAAGTGCATCTCAGCAATGGCAAATGACTACATTTTCTGCCCTGATACACAGCAAAATAATGGGCTGAGATGAATCAAGAATCCGAGACACCAGTTGACAATCTGAGTTTCTTCTGGCGCCTTGTTCAGAACTTTGCATAATTTTTGCATTTTGACCTTTTAACATTTCACAAAAAAAAAAGAAAATCATTCTCTCGAAAAACACCCACTTCTCTGTTAAATTCACACACATACCTCATCATGCATCTGATGTATTCAAGTCAGACTCAACAGACAGAAGCATAAATGGGAAATAATATCATAAAACAATGAGTATCTCAAACAGAATATTAAAACAACTTTCTTAATGTCTGACACAAACAAGGGGATCAGTGCAGCAGTACTGCAGCAATCCAGCATGTAGGAAATAGTGGGTTTCTATAATGGATACATTTATGAAAGACAGTTAACACTGATCTAGCTCTCACCAGACCAGATACACCAGGCAATTAAACTGTACATGACACTGTTGTGTTTATTTCGTTGCCACCTCCAGCACATAAGATTTCGTGCGTAGACAGCAAAAAGCTGGCTGCTGGCTTTAACACTCTGTTTCTTTCTTCCTTTATTCCTTTCTTTCCATTTGGTTTCTTTTTCTAGTAAAACATCAATGCTGAACCTGCCCTCTCTGTGTGGTTATTTATCCATTTTTACAGCCAAATCATAGGAGGTTATTGGGGAGTTTTACACCAGATTGGATTGACGTTTTCTTTGTTTGATTTATGATTACAATCCTGTTTGTATATCAGAATATTGTTAGAAACGCACCAGTAATGCAACGCTTTTTTGGCAGCACACATAAGTTAAATACCGTAAGAAGGCGTGTTACTTAGTTACTTAGAAAAGCAGAAAGTGTATAAGGGTTTGGTATTTCAGACTTGTTACTATATGCTAACTTGAATGCCAACTAAAGCAGAGAGCTGTGGGGTTACTGTTAATGGACTCAATGGTCACAAATGAGTAAAATTCTTATATTCAAATTGTCTGATTTCTAAAAGGCTTCCATATTTATTAAAGACAGAAATCAGGAAGTGGAGGTGTCACACCGCTCTGTTACTGACAAATTTTGTCCAGTTTTTCCATCTTGTTGTAGAATTCCCTCCAGTCATCCATCCTTAATGCGACTAATTTATAATAAATGTATCAAATGAATGCTTATTAAATTACTGTACATCGGTTAAAGAAACACTCAACATTTAACTCCCAAATACAAGATACAACAACACCCTGCAGATTGAGGTTAAGAATTTAAGACTAGCTTCTCTTCAAGAACACCTGGAAACCATCACATCATCAGTGGCAGTTTGTTAGTATCACTGTAGACTATAGAACCAGTTAAATCACACAACACAGTTTAATGCCTGAATTTCTTATTTTAAAACTTTTTAAATATAATGAAGAAGACTGAGTGTCTACAGTCATGCTAGCTGGTCTGTGAGGCCGTCCAGATGATGCTAATGGGATTTGGTAATAAACTCTAGTACTGAACAAATAAAAGCTTTGACCTGAGACCTAGACAAAAAGTTAGGGTATCAGCAAAGTGATATCCAAAGGTGGACATGAATGTGTGTAGCACAGTTCCATCCAATTGTTGTTGAGACATTTCATTCAGAAGCACAAATGTCAACCTCGTGGTGGTGCTAGAGGGAGAGTCAGGGGCTCACTAACATTAATAGGATTCATCCTCTGGGGACCAATCTTTCTTTCCAATAGATGTTGAGATATTCAGCTGGGACCAAAGTGGTGGACAAGTGACTGACTTTCCCAGAGCTACCCCGCTAACATGGCTAAAAATGACATTTGTTGAAATTCAGTAAGCAGTCATGAGCCTAGTTGAAGATTTTTATTATATTTGTACCCATCAGGGTCTTGAAAATTACAACACAGGTGCAACGGAGGATTTAACAGGAGATCACATTCAGACCACAGCCAGAATTTGAATCAATTACCCAGTGGCTTTGATATGTCTTGAAGGACAGCTGGCTTTTTGAGCCATACCTGAGTTTTTTTTTTTTTTTTTATCCGCAGTTCTGTGTTTGTGAGCAGTTTCTTCTATTGTAGACCAGCAGCTACAGGGTTAATAGCTCCCCGCTGCGATTTTGTCATTTGGGCCTCTTTTTTCAATCCATGGAGACCTAACACTCCTAATGCAGAGCCATCACTGACAAGCATTTCCCATTATTTCCCATCTCACTCACACTCCAAGACACACACACTCACACACACTTACATACCATGCTGGGTTATTACTGACAAGTATTTCCCATTTACCCGAAGATGAAGCAAAATAACAATTTTGAG